GATCTCAGTGCCTACGAGGAGCGCATCGCTGAGCTCGAGGTACCTCGCCACCGCCCCACCCACCACTTCTTCTTCTTTCTTCAGCGAAGATGGCTGAAAAAGGTTACTCACTCCGTGGTCGTGCCGCGAACGCGCCCAGGCTGCCCTGGCCGACGAGAAGGAGCGAAGCGCCCAGCTCCAGGCCAAGGTACCCCACCCTTCTCTGTTCTCTGTGCCGCCCCTCCCCCTTTGGGTGTGGCCAGTGCAGCCTACGGGCGTGGCCGTGCACCAGGCGACCTCCCGAGCTGGCCTGTTTTGAGCGCACGCAGTGGCCAATTGGCGGCCGCAATTTTGTGTGAGGCGTTTAAATTGGTGGTGATGGGTGGACACCGGGTGGTGAATGCTGAGCTGGCCCTCACACGCTCCCTCGTGACTCGTCGACCGACAGGTGGTGGACCTCGAAATGCAGCTGCGCGCAGCCCAGTCGGGTGGCGGCGGCGGTGCCGGTACGCCTCCTTCCCCCTTTAGACTGGTCTTTTCCACGGCAAGGGCCACGCCCACGGTCCCTTTGTTGCAACGCGCTGACCACCACCACCGCCGCCATTGGTGGTGTAACAGCTCCGCCTCCGCCTCCTCCGGCGCCCGCCGCGCCTGCCCCACCGCCCCCGCCTGCTGCGGGTGGCGCACCGCCGCCCCCGCCCGCCGGTGGACCTCCTCCCCCGCCTCCCCCCTCTGCCGGCGTACGCCTCCTCTCCTCCCTCTCCAGCCCTTCGTTGGCGCACCAGGCCGCTCGGCTGATCGTGTGTCGTGTCGTGTTGTGTCGTGTCGTGTGTTTCGATGTGTAGCCGGCGCGCGGCGGTGCGGCCGACCCCAGGGCCGGTCTGCTCAACGCCATCGAGGGCTTCAGCAAGGGCAAGCTCAAGAAGGCCCAGACGGTCGACAAGAGCGGCCCGGTGACCACCGCCGAGAAGGCCTCCAGCGGCGGCGGCGGCGGCGGTGGAGGTACTCTCCCGACCCTTTTTGCCACGGCCTCTCAAGTGGTCAAATCGACTCACGCGTGTGTATGTGTGGTGACCACAAAGGCAACTCCATCGCTGCGATGGCGGCGGCTAAGCGCAGTGCTCTCAAGTCGGCTCCCGGCGTGAGGTAACTTCTGCGCGCCTACACACGTTGGCGGTACTACTGGAGCAGGGACTAAACTTCCTCTTTGGGGGGGGGCGCAGGACCAAGTCGGGCCGCATCACGAAGGAGCAGGCCGATGCCAACAGATCGGCGGCGCTCAACCTGATCAACCTCAAGTCGGCCGGCGTCTCTGCTGCCCCCGCTGGCGGCGCAGCTGCTGCGGTATGGACACCTCCACCTCCGGTTCACTTTCCCCAAAGAGCGAAAGAGACGGACGTACTCACAACGTCCTTTCTCTTTCATTGTTGCGCACCCTATAGGACTCTCCCGGTCCCACCACCATCGACTTCCGCGCTGGCCTCAAGAGGTCTACCAGCCCTCCTTCACTCGCCGCCCCTGCGTACGCAGCCCACGCCACTCATCCTTCTTCTTCCTCCTCCTCTTTGCCACAACCTTCTAACCCACGCCTTCCTCCTCTTCTTCGTTCTTTTTCCCTCTTTTTGCCCTCGCGCAGCGCTAGTTCCGGAAGCAGGTAAGTTCAGCCGCTCATTTTTTGGGGTTTTTAGTAGTACTCACCATCTCGTCATTCGTCGTCGTTATCATGGTGCAGCCCTTCCCCGGCCCTGAACGTGACACTGAGGAAGGCCCAGCCGCCGGCCGCTGGCGACGCGCCGGCCGCCGAGAGCGGCTCCGCCCCTTCGCCCGGGCTCAACGTCACCCTCAGGCGCGCCAACACGACTCCCCTCCAGTCGACCCAGCCCGCCGCCGACGCTTCTACGGCCGATTTCAGGTCGGGCCTCAAGTCGCTCAACACCGGTGCCGACAAGACCGTCTCCGGCCGTTACAAGGTACGCCGTCACAACCGCGTTGCCCACTATGTGGCCACAAAGGGCACTCACCGGTTCTTGGTGCTCGGTGTGGACTGCAGGCCCCGAAGGCGGCCACGGGTCCTGCTCCGGAGATGAACTTCCGTGCCGGCCTCAAGCGCACCGGACCCCTGTAAAGCTGCGCCCGCGCTTCGTCGATGGCGGCTCTCCTTCGCCCCTGGCGTTCCTCACAACACGCGCATGTTGAGGCTCTTTATGCGTGGGACCCGGGAGTAGTCGTTGTAATATTTATTCCACACCCAAAAAATGTTGCGCAAGGACAGTGCCTGCCGTCTTGCGTGCTGTGTTGAGATGGAAACAAGTGCTCACAGAAATCTAATCACAAAGATTCACCAAAAACAAAACAAGGGGGCTCTGGCGAGCATCAGGCGGCCCACAAGATGGCCAGCAGCCGTTCGAAGGTGGCGGGCGTGCTGTGGATGTGGCCCTTCACGATGAACTCACCCAGGGCCTCAGCCACACGATTGAGCAGCTCTACACACGCGAGGGAATTGTGAGTGATTTCCATGGAGGCCAAAACAAGGTGGGGCGTCAAGGAGGTGCGCACCGGTGCAGTGCAGGAGACGATACTTCCACGAGAACATGCCCCGGTAGACGTAGATATGTCCCGGCTTGCCCGGCACGTCGACGAAGCAAAGCTGCGCCACCTATCATTGCGCACAAGGGATCAGATCGGGAGAACTCTGGTTGGTGAGATTGATTAACGGGATGTGCGGCCGCACCTGCTCAAAGAACGAGTTGATGTTGGAGTGGGGCGTCCTGGTGACTAGACCGGTACACACGACCAGCTGAGCCAGGAGCACCCAAATCTGAATGGGCACGTTGAGCTGCTCGGTCAGCACGAGGTTGATGAACTGGCCGTAGTAGTTGGCCCATGCCCTGGCTACCAGGCGAGGCTGGTCCTGCATCCGACACGTGGCAAGCTGGTATTCGACCCCAAAGTGGAAAGGGAGAGAAAGAGAGCGACGTTAGCCCAACAGAACTGGAGGGGTAGGAGGAAAGCGGGCGTGGGTACCAGGCCGAGTGTAACGCGAACGCTGCCGTCCTCGGTCAGGTGACGGCGCACAGCATCGATGCCCCAGCGGTGATCCTCAACGATCTCCGTGCCGTCGTCGGACCACTCCACGACGCTGCATACGGCAAATGTGCTCAGCTTCGGAGCGAGCTGGAAGTCCAGCGTCACCGAAGTGCCCACTTCAATGCTCTCGTTCGCCACCTGGCAGCCAGATACAATTGCATAAGACTCCTGAAGACCGATAACATGACAACTCATTGCGTGGAGAGGGAGATACCTGCTCGAAGAGAGGCCGAAGACATTCCTCCATGCGGGAGTGCAGGATCGTCCGCGCCTGCTCAATCACGGGAAGTTTATCGGCGGGCGGTCGTCTGACTGGGTCCAGCTCGTCGACCTGCGAGGCGACCCCGAGCACGCAGGGAAACGGCCGCCTGGGATTGCTTTCCCTGCGAGGTCACCGGTGTGAATCCAAGGCTGTGTGCAGGTTCTGTAAGACGAGAGGACGCGTGGAGATGTACCTGATGAACTGGAGGACCTCCTTCAGGAACAGTAGGTTCTCCTTGTTTTGTTGGGTGTCGAGCTGCTTGGCCTTGGCCACGAAGATGACGATGTCCGGATGGCCCTTGCGCAGCTCCTCCTTGATCAGCTCTGTGTGCGCAAGAAATGATACACTAGACGTTTAGTCCAGAGCGAACAGCCATTGGGGCGCAGGGCAGGGCGTACGGAGAGGAGTCTTCTCCGGGATGTAGACGAAGGACTTGAAGTCCTCATCCTCGTACACCACGTTGCTATCGAATTCGGCATTGCCGCGGGAGTCCATGATCTTGATCTTGTCCCTGCCCAGGTTCAGATCTCGCCACTGCAGCAATGCAATAACAAAGCACTGATGATGAGCATTGCGGGCGCGGCAGCGCGGAAACGCGATCGCGTACCTCACAGCCCATGGTCTCCTTGAGCACGCTGCTCACCTTACAGAGTTTAGCTCCGGCCAAGGCGTTGATGAACGATGACTTTCCCTCGCCTGTTTCAGAATGGTGAGCGGACGTATGAAGAAACTGCAGCGGTGTTGCGGCTGGAGAGGGCACGTACGTGTGCCGCCGATGATGAGGATACGGGTGGTGTGGTCGATCAAGGCCAATTCGAGGGCCTCCTTGAGGTCAATGTGCAGGTGCTCGTTCCCCGTGCAACGTTGGAGGGTCGATGAGAACACATCGAGGATGAACGCAATCTGGTTCGTTGACTCATCCTTCAAGCGCAACTGATCCAGCAGGCTGATGACGGGCTTGACTTGATTCTGCACATACCACATAGCATGCCAATCATCAGTCGGCACTACTGGCACAAAGCCAAGTTGCTCCTTAGAGTCTGGAGCTTACCAACTGATTCCTCTTTGCGAGCTCCACGAACTGGCAGTAGTCCCTGAAGAGGGTGTGATCTCTCGCAAACGTGGTGATGAATGGATCCTGTTTGGGGAAACCCATTAACACCCAGGTCCAGGGCGATTGCAGGGTGCTGAGATGGTCAGAGAGGCGGTAATACCTGTAGCATCGAGGCGGCGTTGTCTCGGCTGTGCTGAGGCTGAAGGCAGCGCTGGACGAAGTTGCGGAGGAATGGGTGCCAGTCACCATACTCCACGTCCTCAGCGTGCTGGATTTGGATCACCTCGGGCAGCTTGGCCAGACGGGCCAGCAGGAGGGCGACCTTGCCCACGCTCCAGATGTCGGATCTGTGGTCATAGTACATGCGACCCATTTCTGGCGGCCGCGTGACTATATGTCCCGCCTGGCTTACTGCCATGTCGCCCTTCTTCAACACGCGGCCGCACCCTAGATCGGCTGTGTGCAATCCAATAGAGCTGTTAGTGATTTGAAAGAAGGAGCACAGGCTTTGCGAGACGTGGGACACGTACTCAACTTGACATGGCCGTCTGCCGTAAAGAGTATGTTGTCGGGCTTTGGCCATGGAATTGAAGTGACGATATCAGTGGGCGCACAAACTGCATGCGTGGTCCGTATTTGGCGGCCGAGGGAAGGTACCTTGATATCACGGTGCAGGATACCGTGTTCCTCGAGGTAGACCAGGGCCGTGAGCACGCTCTTGAGAATAGTGGCCACATGTTCCTCTTTCATCTGGAAGAGCATGTCGTCCACGAGGTCCCAGGCGCTACCACCACCGCAATATTCCAGCACCACCTAAGGCCGGTATCCACAGCAGCACCAAGGGTTAGCCAAAAACAAAAGTGCGAGAAGAAGGGCAGAAGTACCCAAATGCTGTCGGCTCTGGGATTCTTGAAGGAAGCGCGACACTGCACAATCTCCGGACATTCACGGCACATCTGGAGCAGAGCGACTTCCTCAGGCTTCGACTCGGTCAAGACCTTCACCGCCACCTCTTCGCCGGTGGGCTTGTGAACGGCCTTGAACACGGACCCGAATGCGCTAAAGCGGGAGTTGGCTGAATGGTCAGCACAAGAAGAAGAAGAAGAAGGCTCTAACGAATGTGCGGGAAGGTGTCGTGATGAGCGTACCCGCTGCCAAGGCGGCCGATTCGCGCGAGCTCCGAAGGCCGCATCTGGCGGGGATAGGTACCGGCCAAGCAGTCATGCAAGAAGCCGCGCACCTTCTCTGTGGTCAGATCGACGTTGTTGCTGACGTAGAACAGCTGGTTGTGCAGATCCTAGGAGAAGCAGGGGTGCGAATTGAGTTGGTGTGGAAACAGGCAGTCGGGATGCGTACGTACGATGAAGGCAATGGTTGGGTTTTCGTTCCAGAGCCCGCACAGCCTGGCAAGCTGAGCGTCGAAGGGTGAGGGTCCATGGAAGAAGGCCAAATCACCCACGCTCGGCACGGTGCCCTCCTTGATGACCTCGTTGAGCATCGCTCGCAGGTCTTCAAAGGGTGTGGCATAGCGGCTGAGGGTCTGCAGGCAGTGGTGCGCCTTTAGTACAAGAGGGCCGTTGAGGTGCGTTCAGGAAGGGGAAGGACTGCGCACCAGGGCATTTTGAGGGAAGAGGTAGACGAATCGATGCGAGAGCATGTAGTCGTAGAACTCCTCGGTGAGGGAGATCAGCACCGGTGGTGGCCTGTAGCCGTAGACCATGGCCGGCGGGAGCCGCTTCGTGAACATGATCTGCTCTTCTTCGGCGCTCACCTTGCTGTCGAACAGACGACCGCCCGGCGGCACGCAAAGTCCGGTCAGGCCCAAGAACCCGACCTCGATGTTGGGCGCCCTGTCGTTGCTGCGTGTGTTGTAGGCCGAGATGAACTTGACGTGGAGATACTTGACCAGGACCGGCCTATGCAAGGGCACGTAGACGGCACGATCGTCTGGTCCGATGTGGAGGTAGGCGAGCGGCAGAGGAAGAACCAGATCCGAAGGGACCTCATCCTGCACCAGGCTCCTACCCTCGTCGAGGTCGTTGAAGCACTCTGAGTACTCGCCTGGAACGGGCTCCGCTTCGTCGTCGGATGCCCCGTAGCCCCACACCGCCACGCTACGGACCGGGTAGGGCCAGCCCGATGGCGCTGCATATATGAGGGTTGTCAGTGCCCGCGCATTCCACCAGCTGCCTTCCGGGCCGAGTGAGCGTACGTTGCCGCAAGACGAGCCCAGCAAGGAGGAAGCGGCCATCAGGTCGGTATCGGAGCACCAGGTCAAAGTTGGCACCTCGTGTGGTGACATGCACCCTGTCGTCGTCCGCCAGCGCCGCAGACACTCTTTCGTTGTCTCGCCTTCGCCAGCACCGCCCCACGTCAACAACCGCCTTGGTGCAGAAATGGAAGAGAAGGGCGAAAGGGAGACGAGAAGGGAGAGGAAAAGGGGGGGGGGCACAAACTTGATTCGGCAGCCGCTGCTGAGCTTCCTGCGGTTGTGGTGCTCTTGTAGGGTACGCACGCCCCATGGCTGCTTTCCTAGACTCAAGCCCTCGTCGCCGTTGTCGAGCTGCTCGCTCTGCACCTCCTCGTCGCTCTTGTTGCCGTTGTAGGCCACCGCCACGAAGTGGGCATTGCCAAAGGGTGGCACGACGCCGCCCGAACCGCCCGACGTGCCGGTCGTAACGGGTGCTTCTCCCTCGCCATCTGCATCGCCAAATGAGGTAGAAAGGCGACCGTCGATGGATTGGAGCATCAGAGGGGTCAGTATCAGCTCTTCACTTTCTGTAAGGCTCACCGAGTTCCAATCGAAAGCTTCCCCTTCGCCATCAGAGGCGAATTGGGCCTCATCTTTGGTGTCGAATTCGCAGCAATCCATTTTCCAGCCAAGGCCACGCAGATTTAGATCACCTCGGCTGCAGTAGTGCGGAGGAATGAAGGGCAGAACTTGGGTATGCTGATCGTCCTGGTGCAAAAGATGTTTGTATGTCTCCTTTTCTGCCGAAGCTCGTGCCTCGCATTCTTGCACTCAAGAATTCAAAAGAAGAAAAGAAGCAAAAAAGTCGACAGAGCACGGTGGCCGAGCGTGGCAGCGTGATGAAGTTGAGTCTAGAGGAATGTTGACATGAATACAACAAACTCCCCGATGTTGAGTGTGCTGTGCCACCAACCTGAGGGAATGTACAACACCTGATGTATCAGGGTAGCATTGAACGTTAGCAAAGAACATGTCGTTGACATCGTGTTAGCCTACCTCTCCAACATCAAGGGTGCACTCCAGCGGTCGGTCAAGAGGACCCAACGATGGATAAACGTTATGCAGCCACCTGGGGAATGCGAGTTATGCATCAGTAGCATGGTAAGGGCCACCAGTGAGGACTTAGCCTACCTGAGCGTCGTCTCGTTGGGATCAAATAGTGGCGTGTACGAGGGCGGATACAAGAACCATCTCTTCGTGGGGGCCAAATTGCAGAATGAGACGAGGGTGAGCAGGCAAAGCACGGAGAAGGGAACTACCTTTCGGCCATGCAGAACTTCGGCGAAGACAGCCCCGTGCGTGTGCAAGGGAACACCGCTGCCTGCACGACACATCAGGTCTCTCCTTTTCATTGATCGCACGAGGAACGGAATCATGCTGCACGTACCGTGTCCGGCAAAACCAAAGCTCAGTGACGGATGCGGTGCTGTCGTGTTGGTAGCGTGCCAAGGAGGCAGCACGTAGGTGGCGAACAGAGCTTGGAACTGCGCAGAGATGAACGTCACACACCAATCAAGAAAAAAGGGGCAAGCAGCAGTACCGAAGTGTGGTCGTTGTCACCGAAGTGATAGAAGGTGGAATCGCCTCTGTCGCTAAGTGTGGTCGGGCGGTCGACAATCTGGGCGGTGTACTGCTTAAGAGTCATTCTTCTTTTGGCGTAGCTGTTGGTGTTGGCGGTGGACAGGACCAGGCTCTTCTCGCCATAGTCCTTCACCAGCCTTTCCTGCATTACGCGTTTTGTAAGCCGCGATACGCAGACAACCTAGGACCTCGTACCTTGGTGGTGAGAGAACGGAACGCCGCGTTGAGTTCAAGGGGCACCGCTATGATAACAGGCTCCCTCTCCTCGTGCAGGCTAAACAGGAAGCGACACCATCACTCTTAGAGGCGGCGCGCATAGAGACTGAAGGGCCGGGAGATAAGGAGGTCAGGTACCTCTCAAATTCCTCCTGGGTGAGGAGCGAGCGTCGAGCAAGGGAGCAGAGGGGTGAGTCAATCGATCCATTATTCTGAAGCTGCTCCGGTGGCTGGGCCAGCACAGCTTGCACGAGGCCCAGGACAACCACCAGCCACACCGCCGCCATCAGCAGCTGGAGTTTGCACGCATCCATCCCCTGCAGCTGTCGCACCACTTGGTGTGCTTCTCTCAGATCAGGTTCTCTGCGGTGGTGCTGACGTCAGCTTTACCGACGAAGGGTCAGCGATGCGAGTAATTTGGTAGGTGGCCGACCCTGTAAGTTCCAAGAAGACGTCCGAGAAAGAAGAACGCGGCCAAGGTTCCCTCCTGCCATCTTCCCTCGATCAACAACTCAACACGCACAAACGGGCGTGAGAGTAATTGGGAGAGATGACAACGACGGAGCATAAGGGCGCTGTACCTGCAGCGGTAGCTCCGCGCAAGGATCCTGTGCGGACGGCCAACTACCTCCTCTACGGTGCTATCGCTGGCATTTGCTCCAAGACTGCCACCGCACCACTAGAGCGGCTTCGCATCTTGCAAATGGTCCGAATCGATTTCCGCCAATTTATTTTGATTTATTTTGATTTAATAATCCCTGAATCTCTCTCGTTGCAGGTGGAGCACCTCCATGGTGGCGAGGGTCGCTATCAGGGCATTTTACGGCCACTCCTGATCATCGCCAGAGAAGAGGTAAGTGCGTTCCACGTGTGCCGGCGTGTGTTGTGCTCTCTTTCTCTGACCCAGAACAACGTCTCGTGTGTGCGTGCTGTTATCCAGGGCATCCGGGGGTATTGGAAGGGCAACGCGACCAACGTGGTGCGGATCATACCCACCTCGGCAGCCCGCTTCTACACGTTTGAGATCTACAAGACGTTCCTGCGGCGGTTTGTGCGACGGGACCAACTCAACACGGTACGCGGTGTGCAACCACCACCACCGCCACGTGCCACGTGCCATGATGATCTCGCTGCTGTGGTCGCTCACTGCCGCTGTCCAGGGCGAAGTGTTGCTGGCCTCGGCCTCGGCCGGTACGACGGCGGCGGTGGTGACCTTCCCGATGGACTTCGTGCGCACCCGGTTGACCGTACAGACCGCCGGCAACACGTACGTGTGCGAGGCATCCCTCCATTGCCACGCGCGCGGGGTGGGTGGCGCTTCTGCTGACGTGGCAGGTGATGTGTGCGTGTGCGCGCAGCTACTACCGGGGCGTGACGAATGCGGTGCTTTCGATCTACCGGCAAGAGGGCCTGCTCGGGTTCTACAAAGGCGTCACGGCGGCCGTTCTCGTACGCTCGCAAATCCCACCCATGACCCCAACGTCGCCTTAGACGTCTACCTATCTGACGGCTTTCGCAGAACACGGCGCCCTATATTGCAATCAACTTCACGACCTACGAGAAGCTGAAGGAGTACACTCAAGCCGGCGGTGGTTCGATTAGCTCTTCCTGGTTGCGCGCCTCGGTGCACGCGCAGTCACGACTCATAAAAAAGTAACACCTCCTCCAACACAGGGTCGCCCGGCACGGTGCTTTCGCTGGCCATGGGCGCAATCGCCGGCACGCTGGCCACCACGATCAGCTACCCGGCCGATCTGATCCGGAAGCGGATCATCGTGCAGGAGATGGGCGGCAAGGAGGGCACCTACGGCGGCATCTCCGACGCCGTCAGAAAGGTACCTCGCTCTCGGCCACTACGAGGCCTTCTGGTACACCTCATGTTATCGCCACGGGAGGGACTCACTGGTGGCTACTCTGTGCACTCCTCTCTTGTCCGCCAGATCATGAGGGAGGAGGGACCCAAGGGATTCTACAGAGGCCTGACGGCGACCTATCTCAAGGTGGTGCCCTCCACGGCCGTTACGTGGTGGGTCATCGAACTCTGCAGGTCCCTCTCCACCAACCCATAATACTCTCTTTCTTCTTCTTCTCTCTCTCTCTTTCTCAGTCTCATTCATTTTATTGTCGTTATTGTACATAAGACTGGATGTCATTGAACATGTCGAGCCTTCATTGTTGATCAACATCACGTCATCATGTCATGTAAGATCAGACAGGCTTCTTGTAGCGGAGGCTACCCTTGTTCTTCTGCTTCTCCTTCTTTACTCGCTCCAGCTCCCTTCGTCGAGCCGCGGCGTTAGTGATGTCGTAGGTCGGCACGTCCTGCTTCCGCCGGCTCTCCATATTCTTCAGCTTCGCCCGCCGCTTCCAGGCCTTCAACTCGGAACCTTCGCTCACCGCTACGCGACACGTACACAACACGTAAGCGAGCGGACCACCTGGCAATGCATGCGGATAGGGGGAGTCTGTACAGTGGCTGATGCCCGAGACCTCCTTGGCCATCTTGAGCAGGATCTTGCGCTCGACCAGCTTGCGGGCCTTGTCCGCCAAGTCGTTGGACGACCCAGCTTCGGCGTGTGCTGGGGCCTCGGCGCCCTGGTCCTTCGCCGGCCGCGATAGCTGCTGCGGTGCTGAGCCCGCCAGAGCCGCCAGCTCGTCGTCGTCGCCGCCGTTATCGAACAGCCCGTCGCCGTCTTCGTACTCGTCTTCGTCGTCCAGGTCGTCTTTGCCCTCATCTGAGGGACTCTCGGCCACGTGCATGTGCCCGGCTATCCTGAGCCCTGCGTCGCTGGGTATCTGGCCGGCTCTGGTCTCACCAGCGAAGTGTGAGGGAAGAGTTGGGGTGGCCTTCGAAAGCCCGGGAGCCGAAGCCGGATGCGACGGCGACACGACGGCCGATGAAGACCTGGTGATGCTCTTCTTCCCCGTGGTGGACGCCGAGGGCGAAGCAATGCCCACGGCTGGAGACCACCTGATCTCGTGGGATTGCTTAGGGGCGTCGAGCTTCTCCGTACCGACAGCCGCGCGAGCGGGAGCCTTCGCTCCATCGCTCACCCGACCCACCGTAGCGGAGCGGAACGCCGTAGGCTTGACGCCACTACCTTCTGGCACTGACGCTCCGCTGGGTGGGGGCTCCGATGGTCGCTGCGTCTGGTCGCGCTGAAGGAGGCTCTCCAGCTTCCGCCTAACCACCTCCCTGGCCCGTTCCTCCTCTTCCGCCGTTTGGTTGACGGCCTGCTCCCGTAATCGCTTCTTCCTCGCCGCCATCAGGCTCTCCTGTCTGAGCTTCTTCTGCAGCTCTTCCTCCTCCACCACCTTCCCCTCGTCTTCGGCCACTTCCTGGGGCGTAACGAACTCGCCACCGCTCGCCGTGGGCCGCACCTCCTCTGCGTCCTTGTAGAGATCGAGCCTAGGCACCAACCCTTCTCCTTGCCCCGCATCGCTCTCGTTGGGCCTCTCCCGTGGCGATTCGAGCCGCCCGGATTCGGACATCAGCTCAGCCCCTGTGTGGTCGGTGACCACCACTTCTGGGGCCGACGTGACTGCCTCGAAAGCTGCCTGCTGGGCATCGGCCACTCGGTCAGCTGCTCCTTCTCGCTCGGCAATGTCAGCGCCCTCAATGCCGTCGAGCGCGTCCTCGCCCTCGGTCTCGTTATCTCCGTTGGCCTCCCCGCCGATCACTCCCTCAGCGTCGATGTCGCGACCTTCCGCTGCTTCTGATGCCCGCTCCACACTCGACGTCTCGACCTCGTACTTGGCGTCCTCGGTGGTTGGCGCAGCGGATTCGAAGCTGCCAGCTGCAGCCTCTCCTAATGCTTCTTCTACTTCTTCTTCTTCGGCGGGAGCCTGTTCAGCCTCCAGCTCACCGGATTGGCTGAGATCTGAATCGGAGGGCAGGGGCCAGGGGGATGCGGCCTTCTCCGGCGTGGCGAGCAGATCGTCGTCCAGAACGACGTCCGCGCCTCCTTCCGAGAGCTCTCCAACCTGGTGCGGCAGATCCGGCGTCGGCTCCAGCGACAATCTCTCTGGAATCCCTACAGTCATGCTCTCGGTGGGAGCAAGGATCGCGTTCTCTTGCGATTCAGGAGCTCCGCCGCTGGCGAGTGTATCCGTCGCCAGGCTGCCGGGTGGCTGTGGCTCTTCCTTCTCAGCGTCGATGGTTGCAGTAGACGTTGGCGAAGATTGTGGAAGAGCAGCGCAGTCGACAGCCTCCCCGGGCGTGACCAGAGTCTCGTCGATGAGAGGAGAGTAGACCAGTGGCTCAACCGCGGCAAGGCTCGCAAAGCTCGTGTCGTGGCCGCTCTCCAGCGAGTTCCTCGACACCAGCGAGGAAGGCTGATCTCCTGCCATGGCCGCGGACCTCAAGGCCTCGACTTCCTCCTCATAGCGGAGGTTGGTCACTGCGTCCATCGCTGGCAGCCCTTCAGTGACCACATCCGGCAGCACATACGCCTCAGCACCGCCTGGCACGGCCTCTAGTTGCGTCACCCCAAAGTCGTCCAGGGCCGAGGGTAGAGAGACGGCAGCGAGCCCCTCTTCCTCGGCCAGGGCTGGTGGTCCTCCGAGCAGCACCAGCGCCAGAAGCAGTGCCGCCACCGCCAGCAGTGCCCCCTCCCTCCGCTCTCCTTCCATTGTGTTGTGTGCCTTGCTTCGCCACATCGCTAATCGTCACTGTACGTATCTATGCGAATAGCACTTCTCCCTGCTTGGCCAAGCGTCCGTTTAGGTGCTCTTCTCCTTCTTCCTGTACATACGGCACCTCCTCGTCTCTTCCTACACGTTGCACTCGCGACTGAAGAGCCACGTCCTCCAAAAGGAAAAGAAAAAGGAAAAGATTCCAATTTCCTTCTCCGCCCGGTGTGCGGTTCTGCGTGCGTTGCGTGCGCAGGGCGAACGAGGACAATGCAAATATTCGTTTTAGTATTGTTATTATAATAATAATGTATCAGCCTAGGACGAGCGGTCCGGCACCATGCGCTCCTCCTCGCCTTCGTCGGCCGATGGGGGCTTGGCTTCGTGGGAGAAGAGCGACACCGTTCCGTTCCACGCCGCAGTAACAAGATAGGGCAGGTAGGGGTGCCAGGACAGGTCCCGCACAATCGCACTCGCTGCACGCGCGCGTACATCAGATGAGACACGGGAAGGGGAGTGCTAAGCACGACGAGACAGGTCGCGAACTTGCAAACGTACAGGAACCGGTGGTTTCGTTGCCTCCCGTGGGATCGTAAACGCGGACGAGCTGCGTGGAGGCCACGTCATATATGTACACCTTGCCGTCCGCCGATGCCGTACACGCATATCGCTGGCCTATCTCCATCACAACCCACGCCCCCACACACGAACGTTGATGTCAGTCGACGTGAACGCGTTGGCGGGGGTTGTGAATAGAGACGGAACAGAGACGGAGGGATGGTCGTACCCGACCAAGCAGGGGGAGAAAATTTACAACGGATGAGCGTCCGCAACACGGAGTGGCCCAGGAAGGTGGACACCGACAGGTCGCACGGATGTCTGCGCGGAGGAGAGCGGTGTCAGTGGGAGCTTTGGATGGGTGCAGAAGCGAAGAGTGGGGTGCGTTCATTACCTGTCGACGTCGGGATGGCCGGGGTAGCTCATGCCTCGGTAGTCCCACACGTACTTCTTCACGGGCGGCTGGGCGGAGTGGCGGTCGACCATTCTCCGCAGGTCCCAGAGCTTCATGGTCTGGTCCTTGCTGTTGGACAGCAGATATCGCCCATCGCCTGTGTGTTGTCGTTGTTACCGTCGTGAGCGTGGGCCAGCAACGAACCACACAACACACACACACACACACACACACACAGGATGTCACAACTTCGTCCCACGGCACCTTTTGAGGCCAAAGATGTGAGACCTTCGGTGTGACCAAAGAGGGTCCCCACGGGCTCGGTCATGCAGCGCCTGTGTCAAAGACCAGAGGGGAGTGCTTAGGAAATGCAACCCCCCCCCCATGGGGGGAGCACTAATCGATTCGGAGAAAGCGAGCGTACTTGTCCCACAGGTAGATGAGGCCGTCGTCGGACGCCGAAGCCAGGAGGTGTGCGCTGGACCCGACACCGTTGTCGGTATCCACGTAGCAAATGGCATTGACGTCGTCACCATGGGCCGCCGCGCGCTCCACGAGCTGGTTCTTCTCCAGATCGTACACGCACACCGAACTATCGGACGTCCCCGCCAGGACCTCCCTGCATACGAACGCGACGCACAAGTGCCGCACACGTTCTGTTGGAGATCCACCCACAAAGAGAGAAAGAAGATATGACGGTGGTACCTGTCGTCGGGAGCGAGGGCCATGCACCAGATGCCCGAATAATCGCTGCCCTGTGCCCCGACAAAATTGAGAACGGGATGGTCGCCTAAGGGATCGGGAGGGAGGGAGGTGAGTGCACCGTTGTGGCGACGACGGTTCGATGACGAAGTCCACCGTCGGCGGTACCTTTGGGGTTCACGTCGTTCAGGTTCTGGGGCAGGGGCACCACGTGCACGAGGGGCGTGATCGACGAGTACAGCAGGAAGGTCTTGTCGCTGCTCATCAGCGCGTCAGTGATCGTCCACTGCCCCTTCCTACGCGCGTACACGAAAGTGTCAACGTTTAGCCCAAGGTCGGCCCACAGTCTATATAGACAGCGGGAGGTAGATCGCGTACTTGGCATTGATTATACATCGCCGCGTGAGAGTCTTCGAGTCGTGGGTGTAGATGCGAATCTTCCAGTCCTGACAGGTGGTGAAGAGCAGATCGCCGTCGCTGCTCCACTGGCCCGCGTAGGCCCGGCGGCAGTACTTATCCACAAGAGACGGAGGCCCTTTGGGCAACTGTCGGCAGGCCACATCGGCCTTCTGCTGCGGTGTGAGCCCCCGACTGGAGATCTCCCTGCGTAGTAGGTGCGCATGCATGACCGGCCCATCGCGTGAGTAGTGTGCGACATTGGAGAAGGGAAGGGCAGAGCCGGAGACGGGTACCTCCTGCACAGCAGCGAAAGCGGGGTCCGCGCCAAGCAGCTTCCGCCGAAGAGTCCACTGAAAAATGTACATTTGTTACTCTTCGGCGCTTCCGGCGCTGGAGACGTCTGCGGTTCACTGCAAGAGGCAAGGCACACATACACACCAGGTCAGCCCGGCCACTGTACGTGTGTGTGTGTGTGTGTGTGGAGGGAAAGCAGGTGTGCATACTCTTCCGCGTCGTCTTGCTTCTTGCAGCGCAGCTTTTCGAGAAGCCTGCACACGACGCTCCCCTTCTTCACCGCTTGTCTGCACGCCGGGTTTGTTAGCGCGGTGAATCACACACGGAGAGGCGCGAGGCGTGGGAGGAGGACGAACTCGAGCGCGGACAGTTCGTTACGAATACTGCGATCGGCGGGGGAGAAAGTGGCCGCCAGGCGCAGGCACGCGCAGGCTTCTTTGTTTTGTCCCATGATCTTCAGGCTTTGCGCTTTCCTGCGGTCCCGATGGGCATCAGATGGTGAGCGACTCTGCGAGTGGAGACAACGAACCGACCACGAAAGGTGTAGAAATACCGATAGAGGGCTTTGGCATAGAGTAGCGGCTCGCAGCACTCGAGGTCGTTCATGCGGACCACCTTGCGGCATTGCTCGAGGGCCTGCTGGCCGCGGCCTAGCCGAATCCCGCAGGCGGCCACGTTGAGCCGAATGATGATCTCCAGCCGCTTCAGGTTCTTCTCGCACTCGGTGAGGTCCTTGAAGGACCGCTGCTTGCCCCAATCAGGAACCACCGGCGCAGTCACCGCGAGCGAAGAAGTAAAGGAGGAGGAGGAAGAGGAGCAACAGGAGGAAGAGGAAGAGGAAGAGACATGGCAGCCCATGTCCTTGGGCATGGTGTAGTCCGACTTGTCGATGATCTCCACCGTCATGTCGTCGGCCGCAGCGTCGCTCTTGCACTCGGCCTCGTCGAGGCGTCGCCGCTTCCGCCGCAGACCGTCCCAGTCCACCATCGTGTCGTCCCCCGCAGACGGCGGCGCGGTGGTGCAGGTCGCGGGCGACACGATCAACGTTACGGTGCTCTCTGCAGACTTGCCGGACGAGGAGGTGCAGGTCTGCGTCGTCTCTTCTCCCTCCACGAGCATCGGGGCATTGCCCTCCTTCTCGCACTTCTCTTCCGCTGTCGCGACCTCTTCACCTTCGAGCTCCATCTTCTCCTTGCCCTTGTCGTTGCCGTTGCAGTTCCGCTTCCCGAGCACCTTGCTCGTCGGAACGTGCTCGGTCTGGAGGCTGCACGTGGAGGGCGCGCCATCTTGGCCGGCGGCCATCTTGCGCAAGCGATTTTCTCGCCAGACTCGTCGGTAGACCTTGAGCTCGAGCATCGCCTCGATGTATCGTTCGAGGGCCGCCGCGTACTTTTTCTCCCTAAACAGGAAGTTCCCCTCATCTTTCTTGATGTTGATCAATTCGAATCGAGCGTTGGGATTGGCGGCGGTGGTGCGACTCGGACCGGTCTCCTCCGATTTATGCAGCTTCTCTTGGGGTCGCTTCTCGCTGTCGGCAGGTTCGCTTCGGCTCGTGCTTGTAGGATGCAGATTTGTTTTATCTTCCATCGCTGCAGATGACGACTTGTGAAATTGATGAAACTCCCTGATCAATTCACCATTTGTGTGTTGTGCCGTGGGCTGGTGCGTGGACTTCTGAATGGAAGGAGTTGAGTCAGCAGCTGCGGCTGCACACTTTCTCTTTCGGCGTTTCGCCTCTTCGGCGCGAACGGCCTCGGCAAATCGCACGTGCGCGTCCAAACAAAACCTCAAGAAATCACGCCGATTTATGCAAAAACGTATCCCGAAGGTTCGCCCAATCCCTGATCATCGCGTTGCACCACGACGACGTTGAGCGGCAAACCGCACACAACGCGTTAACACCACACGGGGGTGGCATTGGTTACTGCTGAACCTGGACCAGGTCTCGAGGCCGAGGAGGCAGGGAGCGCGATGGGACGACAGACAAGAATTTGGCAGGAGAAGCGCAGAACAGGGAGGTGGGGCCCCTCAAGCCCCGAGCGTGTCGGCCAGCCTCGACTTCTGCGACTCGGTGAGCTTGGTGGGGAACTGGATGTTGAACCTGATCACCAGGTTGCCCCTCTTCTCCGGGTTCTTCTGATCGGGCATTCCTTCGCCTGGCACCGTCTGCACGCGCATCGGACGAAGAAGGTCTCCCCAATCAGCTTCTGCCCATTCGCACGCGGGTCGGGTGGGCGAAGAGGGAAAGGCAAAGGGTACCTTGGAGAATCCGGGAGGGATGACGTCACGAAGGTGCACGTTGAGTGTGCGTCCGTCGAGCGTGACGATGGATAGTTCGGCGCCGCAGAGGGCCTGGGTGAGGGAGATGTTGGCCGTATATACAAGGTCGCTCTTCTCCCGCGTGAACAGCGGATGCGGCTTCTGCTGTAGAATGAACACGATGTCCGCCGGTATGATGCCCGGGGCCTGGTCGCCTTCCTGCGCAAACGTGATCTTCGTGCCTGCACGGGCGGCCACGATCGAGTTCAGAGTTCGGTTAGCACTTGCGTTGGAGTGTACGCAAGAGCGGCCGGTGGTTGCAGCGTACCCTCCTTCCAGCCGGGCTTAACCGTTAGTTCCAGGATCTTCTCAATCACCTGCTTTTCCCCACCGCTTTCGGTGATGGTTTTTGTGATCTTCATTCGTTTCATCGTTCCTGTGTGTGGCAAGGCGATGAGCCCGGTTCTGAAGGCAAAGAGAGAGTGCCTGGCTGGCGCGGGAGAGGATGTCGTACCCGTGTAAAGTTCCTCCAATGTACAACCGAACGTGCGCTCAATGGGCGGGGCCTTTTGCGGTCGCGGTGGAAACCCGCCAAAGCCACTGTCGAAGCCTTCAGGCTCGCCAAACGCATCGAAGCCGTAGAAGCCTCCCGCGCCTCCGTTCCTCCCCGAACTTCGCGAGAACGGATTGGAACCTCCTGATGACAGTGATAGATCAAAGAACAGAGTAGTATCAGCAATCTCACATCAGAGCTCACCATCATGAGCACACGACACAGCACGACATCACAGGAGAGGAATGGGCACCAAAGAATTGAGAGAAGATGTCCTCGGGACGTGAAAATCGGAAGGAGTTGAAGGAGTGTGCCGAGGAGGCACCGCCGCCTCCGGGCGCGCCGCCGGCCTTGACTCCCTCCTCGCCGAATCGGTCGTAGAGGTCCTTCTTCTTCTCGTCGCTCAGCACCTCGTAGGCCTCGCTCACCTCCTTGAACTTTTCCTCCGCCAGCTGCTTCTGGTCGGCATTCCGGTCCGGATGCCACTTGAGTGCCTGCTTGCGGTAGGCCGCCTTGATGTCCGCCGCGCTTGCCGTCCGCTCTATTCCCAGGATGGCATAGTAGTCCTTCCCCATTTCCCCCACCTGCGCGCCACCAGGAGGGTGCGGGTGTCAGTGAGCAGAACAAAGCCTGACGCAAGAGCTAGAGCAAGAAAGGAGAAAGAAGTAAAAGTTTGTGGGGGGCAGAGAATATTTGTTGTGGATCTAGAAACAGATGGGCACCACCAACATAGAGGATTTTTTTCAATTTGGTGCAAAAATTTGCTTCCAAATTAGAGTGCAAACAAACAAACGGATGGATGTTTTAACCGCACAAAGAGGTAACACTTGCGTGGGATGATACTTACCTTTCGTTTGCGGCCACGTCCTCGTCTCATGCAGTCGAGAATCAGAATGAGCTTCGAATTCGAGGATTTGGCGGGCTTTCCAAGATTTTTGTGCGCCTGACGAAATATCGATGATATTTCATTGGAAGTGATTCTCCCATGCCTAACATGCGGTGGGTTCGATAACCACCAAGGCTCTTTTGCAGTCGTGGAAAATGGGCAAGAAAATTGCGCGTATTGGTGTCGGGGCGTTGCTGTGTTGTCGCTGGCATCTTCCGTCGGGCGTTGTAGTTGATTGTTCTGAAGAGGATCATGGGTCGTCTGGGCTGTCCCTGGAGTACGCCTTGGCCTCGCTTTCGCAACAATGGAGATTATCCAAGTTGCATTTTTTTAAAACAATCTCCATTCCATTTCTGATTTGTACTCTTGCTCACAGATTGGGATGCCATCTTGGCCTATAGTACTGTCAAGGTGCGTTGATTTTGCATGTTGATTTAGTGCCGAATATGATTAACACCGAATATGATCCATGCAGATCGTGCAAATCCAAGATCGGCGCCTGGGCTTGCTGCACTACTTCTTCATGCTTGTCATTCTCGGCTACATCGTCGGCTTCACCGTCCTGTGGCAAATGGTACCCCCTACCACCCTCCCACGCTGCAGCGCAGCGCCCTTCAGCCGTTGCTCATCCCCGCTTCTCCTCCTCGTTCGCGACAGAGGTACCTCAAGACCGAAGCGCCCGTGGGCTCCATCCGCACGTCCCTCATGAGCGTACGTTGGCGCCAACCCACGCACTCGTGCTTGCCAGCGCCCTTCTGATGTTTTTGGTGCGTTGCGCGTACGTGTGCGTGTGTTGGGTGTTGGGTGAAACAACGGGCAGCCTCAAACGAAGGGCCTCACGCCCCCAGCTGCCGAGAACATCACCTACTGCCTCCAGAACAGCGCCTCCACCAACGGGTGCGCTACACCCTCCCGCCGTCAGTCATTTGACTTTGTATACGTTGCTACTCACCACACACACACACACTCTTCGCCTGTAGATTCCCCAACTACGAGTGCTTATATTGGGACGAAGATCTAGTCGTGTACCTTCCTCTTCCTCCTCCTCTCCTTCATCTTGTTCATGTGTGTGCACACATGAAACGGCGGCGCCTGACTCTTTCATGACGTGACGCCATGCTCTCTGCGCAGCTATCCGACATTAGAGCACGGGGCGATGTTCGTTACCACGCGCATCACCAACACGTCCCAGGATCTCAAGGACGGCTGCAGCCTGACGTACCCAACGCTCCTCTCCCTCTCTCTTTCTTTATTTTCTTCTCCGCTGTGGTGCACCCCTTCTCACCGCCGTGCCGACAGGAACAACACGTGCAAGTACGTGCCCGTGTCGCCCCCGAACGACATCTACATCGCCGACATCGAGGACTTCACGGTAAGGGGGTGTTCACCCCTTTGAAGAGCAGTGGAGAGCCGGCGATGTGGTAGTGTGCTAACCACCTCATGTGTGCACTACATGGGGTTTGGTGAGTGGGGGGTTCAGCTGCTGATCGACCACGCCATGTACACGAGCCAGCTGGGTATCCAGGCCAACGGGCAGGATCTCTCCGGCTCGCTGATCGACTCCAACGGCGACAAGGTCACCAACCTGCCCGCAGGTACCTGCGCCTCAGCCCAGCCCAGCTCGCTGCCGGCACGGAACGCGTACTGAACACCCATCATCAGGGGATACCGTGGGCATGATCGGCAAGCAGGACATCCTCCACATGAGTGTCGTCCTCCGCGCTGCCGGCATCGACTCCCTCGACACCCCCGGTACGCCCATGTCTCTCGGCACTCTATTGTTTGTTGTTATTTATTTCTGTATTTATGATGTATTGTTACATATCTTTGACACAATGTGGATCGCTGGGCGCAGGTTTCAATGACCCCAAGAAGTCGAAGAGGGACGACGGGATTGTGCTGCTCGTGTTCATCACCTACAGCAACACGTACAGCTACAACACCAACAACATCAATTACGAGATCACGGTCAAGGCCGTCAGCGACACCAAGTTCAAGAGCGAGCAGCCCATCTACACCAAGAGCTACGAAAAGCGAGGTACATCCCGCACCATTGCGCAGAGACAGAACACGGGCAAACGAACGTCTATCTTGTTTCTGTGCGAACGTGCGGCGGAGTAGTAATCTGGAACAGGCACGGAGTACGCCTGCTCTTCTTGACCGTGGGTTCCCTGGGCAAGTTCGACTTCCAGACCCTTCTCCTGACTGTACGCCCACGCACTTTTGCCTCCCACTTTGCCTCCCTTTTCGTGCCGTCTGTGCGCCCCCCAACGGCTCACGCTCCGCGCTCGCTCTCTCTCTCTCTCTGTCCAGTTCGTGTCCGGTATCGGTCTGCTGGCCGTATCGACCCTCATCGTTGATGTGATTGCCGTGCGGGTACGCAATCAACCCTTCTTCTCCCAGTCCTTGCTGTGTGCGCGTGCGAGGAGGATCGGTCTCAAACGATTCGCCGGCTTCGTTGTGTTTTCGTTTTCCACTCCAGTTGATGCCCGGCAGACAGACCTACAAGAAGTACAAGTACCAGGAGACGCCCATCACCGACCCCGGTGCGTCCCCCGCCACAGTGCCGCTTGGAGTTGAGCCATGAACACGCCCCGGCTCACTGACGTGGTTGTGGGGCGGTGTGCAGCTGAGGCGACTGAGGTGTACGCGCGGCTTGACGGGTCGTGCGACAGCGACTACCACACCACGGTCAACCGAGCGTAGGAAGGGACCTCCCGCGTCCGCGGACGTGCCGGGCACCTCGGCCATCCACTCAGTTTTGATCACCTTACATGTACTAGAGGGCTTTACCAGTCGGCCCCGCCTTAGAGCGCAACGCGAAACGAAGCGATTCAGAGAAGGGCCACGCGTGTTGTGTATGTACATGGCGGTCGTTGACCGGTACAGTGAATGGTGCGTCCTATCTCTCTTGGTGACTCGGTGAGGCGACTACTGCTGAATGAGGTTGCTGCCGAACGCCGTTACGGGACCATCGGCCTCAATGACGTCGAGCTCGGGCGCAGAGTGCACGGCCTCTGTCATGGCCAAATAAAGGGGGGTGAGGCGAAGTGTCGAAAGTAGGGCTGAAGGGGCGTGACGTACGAAGAACGGTGTCGGGGATGGTGGCGGCGAAGCCGTTGACAACAGGCGTCTCAGACTCATACCACTTGTGCGTCACGCTGCCACCTACCAACCACGTAGAAAGAAAAGATTAAGCACCGGCGCTGCAGTGAGGGAAAGGAGGCGAAGGGGACTCACCGGCAGCTTCGATCTTGGCAGCATGCTGAGCCACGGTGGCCTTGTCAGTTCCAGCCTTGAACGAAACAATGTACTTACCCTCTGCACGCGGTCGTAGCAAAAAAGATCAAACCGTTTGATTGAGTGAGGATCTTAATGATGGAGGTAGAGTAGTTGCGAAACTAGCAAGGAAGCTGACAGACGCACCAGTGGCCATGATTTTTGGATGATGCTTTGTGGGTGGTTGTTGATCTGCTGTGCGGGTCGGTGGTAAATAAATGACCCTGAGTCGGCCCCCAATAGACTCTGCCCCGAATCGCTCGTTCGTTGCCCCCAAAAAGAAACTTGTGCCGCCTGTTCCACCCTCGTACCTCACCAACATCCTCCATCGACCTTTCCTCCGCCCTTTATTGCGGCCTCAGCCTCTGATCATCGTTTGGTGGTTCGCTGGGCCTGCACGATGGGGGGGGGGCAAAGCGCTTCTCACTCCTACTCACTTGCACACGCCCAGGAAGTAGGACATGACGAGCTGCAGGACAGCAACGGACAGGAGGAAGTAGCTCCGCTTGCTGGAGGCCAGGGGCGTGTTGGCCATCTCCTGGTCGGGCAGGATCAGCAAACGCAGTGTGCGCACCTGGGAACGGAGCGAGGAGAACGAGTGTGAGTTTCTCTCCACTACGTTGTTGTTGTTGACGGATCTCGTTCAACGCACCATGAAGATGGCGATGAAAACGCCCGTGAGGACCACCGAGCAGTAGTAGGCATAGGTGCCCAGGAGGAGCCCAACGAGGTGGTTGACGCAGAGACTGCAACAACAGAGTGTCGTGCCGTGTTAGGCTCGCGAAAGTCCAGGCGAGGCAATGAGAAGAAAAGAGGCGACGTGGTGTACCTGATGAAAATGTAGCCGGCGTAGGAGAGGAGATCAAAGACAGAACAGTTCATAGAGTTGAGGAGATAGAACCCGAACTTGAGGAAGACCACCTCGAAGCCCAGCGAGATGAGACCCGACGAGGCAAGCTTGCCCAGCATCTCGGGAGTGAACCTGACCATACGCACCACCAGCCAGTGAGCTACTACATCATGGCAAAATGACGGGTGGAGGAGAAGGCGATCGTACTCGTTCCTGGTGCCCAACACAAATGCGGCGAGCAAGACGTATGTCACAAACGCCATCAACGGAATGTACAGGTCGGGGGCGTTCAGATCGTCCTGCGCGCATTCAGCACCATCGTGCGGCGATCATCAGTGGCGGGTCGGCGTCAGGCAGCAACGAGGTGGAGAAACGTACCTTGGGCGGCAAATACTGTTCCTTGCCGTCGGGCGTTTGTGTGATACGTCGCGTCCAAGACTGAACGACGAGTTGGCGTCAATGGTAAGCTGCCAGACCAGTCGCTTGGTGCGTCTATAAACTCATCTAGAGAGGAGGCTGAAAAGGCACCTTGTGCAGGATGGGACACAAGATGACCTTGAGCTTGTTGGGGACGTAGGAGTTGTTGATGTTGAAGTAGTACTTCAAATTGGTCGCTTCGAGGTAGCGTGTGATCTGCAGCACACCCCCGTAAGCAACTCTACGCAAGCGCACTAGGCCGGCAACCTAAACAGGTGGTCGTTTGGGTGAGTGTACCCCTTCGAGGCCCTTTCGGCCGGCGTCTTCTGCCCACCGCGAGCCCTGATCAAGGCCCACCCTGCAGGAGAGGGAAAGGGAAAGGGGAGAAGAAGGGGGCTGAGCCAAAAGAGTGGCAGAGTAGCAAGCTACGATGGACCACGCAGGTAGTACCTGAGAAGAGGGTTGTCGGTGATTTGGGCTACGTTGTTGAGGAAGTCACCCTGGCCGATGTCGCTGAAGAGCGGCTGCTGGGGCTGGGGCTGTTGTGGCCTCACGCCACCGGCAGCGGTGGGCCTCGCTGGTCCGCCCCTCCTTGGCCCACTCATAGGGGCCTGAGGCACCACATTAAAGGAGCCTGCTACAGTCATCCCAGACAAATCGATAAGCATCACGAAACAGATGCTTGCGTAGACCACGTTGCTGAAAGGAGGTGAGAAATTTGGAAATGATGATACCTTGGGGGTGCTGGTAGCCGTGGCTGCCGGGAGGAGAGATGGGAGTGGTGGAGATGAAGGTGGAGGGGCCTGGCCCGCCCTCGCCCGCGTAGTAGCCCCCATCGCCCTGCTGATCTGCAGTGTCTTCGAAGCCGTATGATTGAGGGAAAAGATGATGCTGATGCTGTGGCTGCCGATGGTGCGTCATCTTGTTTGAAGGGATCTTGTCGTCGCTGCAGAGGCAGAGAATCTTGATTCAAAATTTGCAATCAAGGCGAGCGCCACGCCAGCAAAAGAGAAACGTTGTTTTCTTCAATAATTTCATTTCTCTTAAGAATGAAAATAAATAAGTAATCAGCTTGGGTCAGGCCTCGATGGTCCACAGAGGGTTGGACCCGGAGGTGCCAGCGGGCGTGGAGTGGCGAGTCGAATACTGACTCACCAGTGGAGGGGAAAAGCCAGTGCCGCCGGTGACCGGCGGAGGCGTGCGATTCCAGTGGCAAGCGAGCGCGAAGGCGCCGGCGGCGGCGAGAGCCCAGAGCAGCAGCGCCGCCAGCCCCGGCGATGGCACCTACTACCGTGCCGGCCACTGCTCCGCCCGACAGGGTTTCGCTCTTTGCCACATCGCGCCAAAGAGGGTAGGGGCACCCACGCAGGTCTGGTTCTTGGCCCAGTCGTCTGGATTGCAGACCTCGAAGCACTGGCCATCAGCGGAGCAGACGCCACAAAGCCCGCACTTGGCATAGAGATCGGAGCCTTCGGCTGCGCAATAGTCAAGATCAGCAACGACCACAACTCATCGTCGTGAGGCGGCTACGTACGCGCCCTTGCCTCACAAAAGCCCGTGGGGTTGCACTCTCGGCATTCGCTGCAGATGTGTGTAGAAGCTGATAGGTAGGAAGGCGAGGCCGTTCGTTAGAATTCGTTCACTCAAGGCCAACAGCGCAGCAAGAATCCGTGTACCTTCAGCTGCGACGCACTGGCCCACAGAGCACACCCCGCATTCGTGGCAAGTCTGGGCTTCTTGCGCCTCATCGGCGAGACAGCTACCCGCCGAGCATTTCTGTGAGCCGAGTGAGTGGTGAGTAAGTGTGCAGCTACGACACCAACTGACCGTAAGGGGCGTTGGGCACCTTGCACTCGCCGCAGGTCAGATGATCATCTGCGACGCAGTAGCCAGCGCTGCACGTGTTGAGCTTGGCCGACGCGGCGATGTGAACTGAGCGTCCATTGGGCGCTCCAGCAAGCTGCACAGTAATTTCTTGAGAGTGTGGGCCACCAATTCAGGTCTGGGCTAAGGGCAGGCACGAACCAAATCGGAGATGAGCTCGAGGTTGTAGACGTGCGAGTGGCCAGAGTTCTGCCACCACCCGGACTCCTGGTTGGCGTTGAGGTAGCCCGAAACCGACTCGCCCGGAGGGTTGTTGGTCCTAGTTCGGATACTCGAGCAGCGAATTGACCAGGTTTTTCTATTGGGCGGTGCATTAGCCTTAGCGCTGCGCTCCCATCGCTCCCACGCACTTGTTGCGGTGTGTACCTTGGTGATTCCGCCCTTGGCGAAGAAGCCGCCCGCGTCCGAGCCCTGGATGGGGTGCTCGAAGGAGTCGATCGCTGCCGACTGCGCCAGGAAGTTGCCTCCGTTCTGCACGAAGGCCTTGACGGTCGCGTAGTAGCTGGCCGTCTTGTCGGCCTCCCACTCGTAGTGGGGCTGGGTGATGATGGAGTGGCACTGCACCTTGGCAGGGTCGGCCAGGTCCGACGGGCTGGCGGTGGTGCTTGCCCGACACCAGGCCCGCGGCCTTGAGGATGTTGGTGTGCGTGTTCTGCGCGTCGCCGGCCGTGGAGACCAGCACCTTGGGCTTGTGCAGCAGGATGTGGCCCCCGTCCACGGTGATGTTCTCCTGCAGGAGGAACAGGTTCACGCCCGGGTCGCTCACGATCAAGCCCAACAGCTTGTCCACGCCCGTTGCTCCTGTTGTGTGTATGTAACAGTTAAGTGGTGATGGCGGGGCCTGAGACAGGGCCGAGGAGGTGGAGCGAGGAGGTACCCAGGTTGAGAATGTCGAGCAGCTCCCTCTTGGAGGGAGAAGAGGGCCCGACAGGTCGGCCGCTCCCGCCATCTTCGAGGGTCTCGGTCCCTCTTCAAGTGCAGGCCGCCCAGGGTGAGCGTGGAGGTGAGGCCGCCCACCACACCATCGACGCCGCTGGTGAAGCCGCCCACGACTCCGCCCACTCCGCTCGTGACCCCGCCCACGACGCCGCCCACGCCACTCGTGACACTGTCCACGGTGCTGGTGAGCCCGCTCGTGACGCCGCTCAGGGTCGAAGTCAACGAGCCTAGGCTGTTGGTGAGATTCGTCAGCGGGCGCAGGATATCCACCAGGCTCACACCTGGGAGACCCGCGTAGTGAGCGTCAGTCACATCGGCCACCATGACCACAGTGGCGATTTCGGATTGTGCGTACGTGATGCCACGGTGAAGTTGTGGGCCACTTGGAGCGCCTTGTTCACGAACTGGCGCTCGACGATGAACGGGCCGGCTGGTGCGGTGGTGTGGTTAGTCTCTTTGGTGGGCACTCGAAACACCGAAGGCGCGGCGTACCAAAGAAGGGAAGAGGGATGGCGGAGGTGGCGAGGCCGATGAGCTGGTTGAGGGTGATGTTGAGGGAGTTGATCTCGAGACCCACGGGGAGGGAGATGGGCGTGGTGCGCGCCCAGAAGTCGATGCCGTCCTTCGTCTTGTCGGACCTGATGGCCCACAGCACCGGCACCTCGGCGTGCAGCAGGGTGCGCACCAGACCTGGAATAAGGAAACCGGGTTTTGTGTGGTTTTGTGGAAGTTTAACAAGCGACAAATCACGAGCGCTGCTAATGGCAACCGCAGTGCAACTTAGCAACTGCGTGAGGAGGCACACATGTGGGCGTACCATAGGACCGCAGGTTGAAGAGGCCCACTTGCAGGAGGTCGTCCATGGGAATGATCAAGGCGCCCTTGGGAGTGGAGGCAGCCGCCCCAGTCAAATAGAGAACGAAGGCTCGAATAATGTGGAGGCTGGATACCTTGGAGATGTTGAAGCTCTTCTTGGGCGGGTCGGGAAGTTCAGGGAACCGGCCTCGCGGTTTGGAGTGGGCCGACGCCGTCTGGATCAGCAGAACGAGGGCCAGGAGCCCCAGGAGCAGAGCGGTGCGCACCGGGCACATCAGGGCAGGCTGTCGCTTGAGGTGCTGTGTGGGTGAGGTGCAGCGAGGGTAACGGCTCTAAAGAAGATTGACAGAGGCTTTTTGGACTGGGGTGGCACCTTGCAACAAGAAGATAACACCCGATATCGTCTAACCGCTCGCTTGACGTCAGACCACTCAACGAAGGAGACCATCTAGCGAGCCGGTTGGCGAAGAGGTGAAGTGACGCTACACTACTGAACCTGGGAGCCTAGCGGTCCACCCCGGCAACCAACCACCACTGCGGAAAGATACCTGTACGCTGGATTGCCCGCCGGTGTAGAAACTGCTGAACGTTGGCCAGCAGTGTAGTGTTTTTTATAGACACAGGCACACACCACGCCCTTTCGGTCGCCTACTGACGCTGACTCGGGCTCTGCATCTGGGGGAAGGACGCGGGGCTGACACCGCGGAGGAAGGGATGGTGCAGGGCCTCGGCCGCAGTGATGCGCAGGCAGGGGTTGGGCGTGAGGCACCGATCCAGCAGGTCAAACACCTTGCGTTTGTGCGTGCGCGCGTGTGTGTTAGATACCACTCGCGGTGTGAGTGGGAATACCAAATAATGAAGTGCGCGTGTGGCAACAGCGGTGGTTGGGGGAGAGGGGGGGGGGTACGCACCTCAGGCGGAAAGTCGTAGACGTTCTTGTTGGCGGTGAGGGAGAGGCACAGGGCGCGCCAATCCATCTTGGCCCTCGCCTCTGGAAATAGCACACGCTTCTCTGTGTGGGTGTGATGACGAAGCCGAGGACGTGAGCAGACGCCATGCCCGGAACGTCTTCGGTCTTCTCCCCGTACACAAGACCAAAGGATCGTGTTTTCAAGCACTAAAATTTGTTCACGAACACCAACGTACCCAGAAGCGCGGCGGTCTGTTGGAGTTCGTTGGTGCCGGTGATGCACGCCACCTCAGCCAGGGCTGTCATGTCGTCCGGCGAGTGAAAGAACGGGTACCGGGTCGTCAATATGCACCTAGGAAAGGCCTGAGCGTTAGTCCACAGCACATTTTTTTTCAGACAGGTACGGGTCTGTAGGCGGCGTACAAGAGTATAACGCCGGCCGACCAGACGTCGAGGGCCGTTGTTTGATAAGTGGAGCGCATCAGGACCTGTTGGAGAGGAGCGTTAGACAGGTGAACCAAGACGGTGATCGAGCACGCCTCTCTTGGGCGTCGGCAGCTTCGCGTACCTCGGGCGCCCGAAATCCTCGGGTTCCAGCCCTCCCTGCTCGCCGGCCATGCCCGCGCGCCTGCAGGAACGCTCTGGCAATGCTCCCACGCTCGCCAGCGGCCGATGTAACGCCAAGGAAGTTACGAACTGCGCCAAAGAACGGTCGGGACAACGAAACAAGACGCGTGAGAAATCCCCTCATACGGCCAACTGCCGTGGTACAAGGGAAAGAGCGAAGAGCAAAGGAGAAGGCCGTACTGTAATTCTGCAAGGAGACATCGGAGCTGTTTTCGGCTTGGAGCACCTTG